AAATTGAAAAAATTATTGCTAAAGAGAAAATCTTCATGTTTGAAAAATGACAACAGGTAAACTATATTTATAGGAAAAGTGTCTAGTCAAAATTGCAATATGAAATTAATGAACATTTATAGCTAAAAAAAGTTTTAGACAAATGCCAATACTCTTGCTTATAAGACTGAAGAGTGAGTGTGTGTGTGTATATATATATATATATATATATATATATACACACACGATATATTTTTAAGGTGTGCTATATTTATGAGTCAAAGTGCTCAATCTCAGAGAGAGAGCGTATGTAAATATAAAAGTGGACATTGAAGTCAACACCCAGAGGCGACAATCTGTTTCATACTAAATGCAATTGTCAGCATGAAACAGACTGTCACTTCTGGGTGCTGACTTCAATGTACACTTTTTTATGGGGGTATATATGACAAAGTAGAAAAAGTTTTTTCATGATGGGTTTCATCCTTTAAGACTTCACGGACTAAATTTGTTATGTTGGTGCAACTAAACATGCACACAAATGAGGGATGCAGGAAATTTTTTTTTAAATTTTTAATCTAGCCAATTTCATTTAGATTCTTTTCATCACTTTTTTTTTTTATTAGATATCCCACATTGTGATAAAAGAACTGCCAAAAATGGTGAAATGTTGTAAGAGCCAAGGTGCAAATTTACTGTGGTTGACCTTGCAATCAAAACATTTTTGTCATAATGATTGCAAGGTCATCCACAGTAAATTTGGCTCTTACAATATTTCAGAACTTCTATCATCACAGTGTTGGATAACCAATAACAAAAGTGATAAAAAGTAAAAGAATCTAAATGAAATCAGCTAGGTTAAAAAAAAAAAAAAAAAAAAGGAAAATTCCCAGCCCCCCTCATTTGTGCACTTGTGTAGTCACACCAACATAACAAATTTAGTTCAATGGAGTCCTAAAGGATGAAACGCATCACAAGAAAACCTTTTCACTTTGTCATACATTTTTCCACAATATTGTTCTTCTACAATTATTTTGGAAAAATTCATTGAAAATTTGTTCACTTACACTTTTCCCAAAGTAGGGAAGAAAGTGATCAGAAAATGAGATACATTATAAGATATTACTCTACTAAAGAGTGTGGACAAGGACAAGTCACAGATTCAACAATTTGGTGTTTACATACACACACATCCCAGACACTGGCAGATGTGCTGAGACAACATCTGGAAAACAAAAGCACATTGCCACTTCTCTAGTGTTTGTAGCAATGATTACTATTTACTAGTGATATACAACAACTGCTCATGAGAGTCTTACTTACGTTGGGATTGGGACACCCCTATCCTTGACCGTGTGCGCCCTCGTTCAGGAGATACCAGACCTGATATGGAGCTGCTAGCATTACTGGTCGACTTGTGACGGGCTGGAAATAAAACTTACTAGTCTACACCAAGAGCAGGGTACACACACACAGGTAGTAGAGAGAGCAGTAGTTGGACAAAAGGTGAAGATGGATAGGTAGAGTTTGTAGCCGTGACCATAGTTCACAGCCACAATAACACAAGAAATTCATGCTACATGTCATTAAAGATGGGGGTGGGGAAACGTAGAGAGAAAAATAAGAAGAGAGAATTAGAGATAAAGAATATAATTTTGGTTGTGAGGCTGATAGAACAATTTAAGTGCTTGTATAGAAGACAGCTTGAACAAGCATTGGACATTGCTCATTAGTAAAATTCAAGCAGCACAGAGCAAAAAAAAAAAAAAATTAAAAAAGAAAAGATTGCTTCACTTTTTTCTTTCAATTAAATAATAAGACTGTTTCACCTTTTTTTTTTTGTTTTAATTTTATTTAGATGCATATATACCTACTTCTTCCAAAAGCAACAGCTGCTATTGCATGTACAAATTTTAGTACACACAAACATCAAAGAATATAATCACATCCAAAGAATAAGACAAAAAAGAATCAAGATACTATTATTTTAAATTTTAAAAAATGCATGGTACATAAACAAATTTCAAAATGGAGAGGAGGGGTCAGGCAGCATGTCTTTCAAGGTAAGTGCAACAGCACTGATACCAACAATATTAATGTTAGTAATATGGTAGGTCCAGGTTCAAGCCTAGGGAACAGCCATGTCAACTTTGGGTCCATCTTTTCATGCCCCAAATGCCCAAAGTGCTCATTACATACATAATGCTTATGACATTGATGATATCTAATGCCGCACAAGAAAAAAAAAAAAATGGTTTTTAGATGAATAAAATCATAAATGATGTCTTGCTCTGCTGCATGCATAAAAGCTACTCCTCCATATCTTAATGTCTATCACAGAAGTACTGGCCTGGCAACACCTTAGCTTCACTGGGAGTTTCACTAAGAAAGACACCAAAAGACCAAAATTCTTGCTATGTGCAAAAAGTTATGAAAGTTTAGGTTTGGCAGTATGTAAGTTCATTATTGTCATTAGCTAAATAACGATTCTGTCTGAATTTCTGGGATGAAGAGTTATTATTTAAACTATTTACATGCATACTATTGTCCTCATTTTCATTGTTATCACAATGTTTTCGCTATTGCCTCTTCCAGCCTTCCTTGGTTGTATGTCAATTCAGGTAACCTACCCAGATCAACATACACCATGAGTGATGAGCATGGTGAGCAAACATATCTGAAATGGAACTGAGGTATGGTGGATACTTACTGCTGGTTCCTACAATGTGAGACTTGATCAATACATAAACCCCAAAACAAGCATTTCATAATATTTCTAAAATATCAGAAATAAAATGAGGTTTTGCTTTTATATATATTTATTGTCATTTCTGAACATTGTCTAAATTTATTATATACTGTACTAAGACAGTATTAATATAATATTTACCTTGAACATATGTGAATAGCTTAAAAAATGTGTCATGCTGGGACAATTCTGAGTACAGGTTTAAAATTAGTGTTACTGGATTTAGTCTACTAGAGTATCACCTGTCTGGGTAGCAGGTAAAAAGTGTGTGTGTGTGTGTATGTATGTATATATATATATATATATACACATACACACATATTATATATATTACTATAAACATTGTTTTTAGTAGGTACATATGTTCGAGTTGCTATCACTAATTTTTTTTATTTTCTTAAACAGTAAAATTGCTAACAACTGGTCTAAATAGAGAAGTTCTACTTAAGAAAAATTGTACCTTCTAACAGTAGGACTTTTAGTAGAATTTCTCAATTTAGGTTGGTTGTTATTAATTTCACTGTCTAAAGAAATAAAAAAACAGGGATAGCAACTGAAACACATGTATCCACTAAAAATAATATTTATAGTAATAAGAAATAATGTTGGATTAAGAAACAGAAACATTCCATTATATTTACTACATATTTTTAAGCAAATATAGAAAGCCTTTCAATTTGTGAATTTTACTTCTTTTTTTATTTTTTTTAGCTGGATCATAATGGATGGATGGATGTTGGATTTAACGGCATGTCAACTCCTATTGGATCATAATGGAGATGAAGATGAGAGGAGCTTAAATTCTGTATTGGAGACAATGCTATTCATGAAAGAAGAAAAAAAAAAGATTGCAAGTGAAAATTTCAGATGTGGAAACCAAGAAGTATGTGGGGAAATCCGTCAAAAATCCAACAATGATGACAATTTAAACCTTTAAGATAGACTAATACAAAAAGTTTAATAATGATACTTGTAAAATTTAATAACTGGTATCATTTTAAATCTTTTCAGAATGATTAGTAAAGAAAAGAAAAAACTTGACAGATGAGTTCCCTCTGATTTGAAGGTATAGATGACAAGACTTTTTTAATGCTATAAAATTAATCAGTTCTAGCATTCTTATCACTTTTCTTGAAAGTACATTTTTCAAGAAAAGCAGAAAATCTGCTATCTAGATGCTGATAAAAAGATAAAATATCAACCAAAAATCACTATCATTCCCAAAAGATTATAGCAAGTGTTTAATGGAATAATAAACTTTGATATATCCTATTTTTCTTCAAAGGGGCTAAACAATGCACATATATATGTGGACCAACTTAAAATAGTACATTAAAAATTTAAATGCTGAATAATTCTCAGCCCCACCCAATTCCCAAAACCTGACCAAATAACTTGACATAAAAGTTTTGGGGTTATTTCCATTTTATTTATTTTCTTTTTAACTTTCTTGGTTGGGCTGAGAACTTTCAGTATTATCATGCAGATATAACCTTGTGAAAATTACATTATCATCAGTTGAGATTTCATTACTCCTTAACTAATCACCCACCCTTTCTCTCTTCTACAGATTAGCATTCTATCATTGCTAATACATTGATAGCTTCCTTACAGGCGAGAAATTCTCCAATCAGAATCAACCTGAAGAAGCTTTCAATGAATTTCGTCAGTCATTGAATGAATATTTTTGGGAGGCAATTGAAAAATTGTTACCATAATGAAATAAACATATGGAGGTCATGAAGGAATTTTTGCTGAATAAAGTTTTTAACTTTTAATTTATTTTGTTTAAAAAAAATCTAATTTCATTAATACATCTAATTTTTAGTGTTCATTCTTTTAAATTTTTTTTTTTTCTTTATTTCTAATTTTTTTTAATTATAAGAAAGTTTTGAGCTGCCATTCAAGGAATAAACCCTTCCTTCAAGTAACTGTCCATTAAAACCACCTTTATTTAAAACAAAAATAATTGTTATAAAGAAATTAAATACAGATATCAACAACAAAGGGAAAACAACAATAATTGGCTTTAGCTTTAGAAATATTGTTCAACTCTTTAAAAATTTAGTTTACTTTTTAAGAATAAAAAGGAAAAATAATAATAACTTTAAATATGAAGAAAATAAGCAACAAAAAATGCTGCTATAATCGGATAATAAAACCACAAAGCAACTAAAAACAAATTAGAATCTGGACAATAAAAATCTCAAGTAAATCAATAACAATCAGCATTAAGTAAGCATTGAACAATTAAATTTTTGTAATATTATCATCCAAAGAATATAAAGCATAAACATAATTAGAATACAAGAATATCCCAAATATCAAATCCATATCAATGCTACTGATGTCTAGATTCAGAATTGCTAGGATGTACTAAAAGTAGCAATTAATGCTACATCTGAAAGCTCAGCACAACTAAATTTTAAAAGTTAATTCAGCTTATTTTAAAAGTAGTCCAAAAACTCACAAGTGGCAAAATTCAAAATTTAGAAACACTGAGTTTTCAAAGGAACCCAATCGAGCAAAACCAGTTGCTAATAATTTACCATAATCTTATTTGAACTTTTTTCTAATTAACTTACTTTTTAATACTTTTCATAAAAAAAACATTCATGGGAAATAAATCATAATGATTAAGACTATTATAAAATCAATAAATATTTCTAGAAGATAAAAGTTAGATTTAATTTTTTTTTCCTAAAAGATAAAGAAATTAGGTTTATCTTAATTAGAATACTGCCTGAATAGTGACACTAACCAAAAGCAAAAAACTGAAACAGAAAAAAAAATACCAACAAATGATGAAATTGATTCCTAAGATATAACCATAAGGTCATTACAGTAATAAAATGAATTGGCAGAAAATTAGAATTCTAATAACACAAAAAAATAGAAAGATCATCTCTGTTCTTGCAATAGTTTATATGTAGGGAGTAATGTCTGATTGCTGTCAAGTGTCAGTTAACAGAGAAAATAGAATGAAGAGGAAGAAAGAAAGAGCCATGAAGAGAGGAAAGTCATTTACAACAATAGTGTAAATTAATTAATAACATTGATTTCAATAAGTAAATTACAATGATTAAATGCAAAAAATACTCTCTTTAAAAGAGTATATACAAATAAAAAAAAATAATTATCATTAATAATATGGGTAAACAATTGATATTACTCTGAAATTTATTCAGTTCACAGGTCTTCTAAGTTATGGAACTACAAACAGAATGATTTAAAATTTTCTTACAAATTCTCACTGCTTATTTGGAAGATTATACATCTATAAATACATTGTGATCATACCATTATTGTGTTATGAAATTGAGCTTGCCATGATCTGTCATTGAAACGGACATAAGTCAATTTGGCTCAGTTGTAAAAGTTAAGGTTGTTTATTGGTGCTAAAAAAAAAATTTAAAAAAAAAAATGCAAAATTTTCTATTTGTAATTATGGTCCCTGTTTTGTCAAATTTTCATGTTTCTAGTCATCTAAGTGATGACAGAGTCACAAAACTTGTTTTATTACAAACTTTTTTTTTTAAATTATAAAAACATTATACATGAAAAATGAATATTTTAAAATGACCTGAAACATTTTAAGTTTAGAAAGTATTGATGATGAATGAAAGTTTGATTTGGTCACTAGTTTATTAACTGCTTAGCTGGTATGGGTGGGTAGGTAGAAGGGTGTTCTTACGTAGTGAGTGAGTGGCTCCTGGAGTAAGTCTAAGTGCTGTAGCTCGTGATATTGAAGAGGAGGAGGAGTAGAGACGCTTGGAGCCTGCCAGATCTACTTCACTACTAGAGCGCACTATCCCACCCGAGCTGCTAGCCTTTGTTGCATCTGCAACAGGATCAAAACAACAAAAACAACATCCAAGCTGTACATACAATAGGCAGGAACAAATATACAAACTGCACAAAAGGTAAAAAAAAAAAAAAAAAAAAAAAAAAAGGACAAACAACAAAATAAGGGAAGAAAAAGGAAATGCAAAAGGAAAAAGCTTTAAGGAATTGGGGGGGGAGCAGAAAGTCAGTAGAGCAATTGAGAGAGAGAGAGAGAGAGAGAGAGTCTTACCTTCTGTGTCATCCCCTTCACAACCACCTTCTAGTAGAAGGAGTACAAGTAGCAAGATATAAGCAAAATACAACAAGCCAAGCATGCAGAGGGAGAGAATGAAAGGCAAGGATAAAATGATAGTGACAGAGAAATAAGGGCAAGAGATCGTAGATTTCAATGCAATGGCCAATCTTCTTGCATTCAGGTTCAGCCTATATTCAGTAGAAAGCCTCAAATAATTCAGAAGAAACTACATTGGGAATGGTGATAAAAAAAAAAAAAAAATTTTTTTTCCTGTATTAAAAAGCATTAGATAAAATTTTTAAAAAGGTGAAATTTTACAACAGATTCCAACTCAAAACATAAAGCAAACTGCACATTTCTATTCTATTTACTTTGTTTTAATGGATAGAGTAATGTGTGATGTTGACAAGTTCAAAATCCATTTGACATACTTTTAAAATTACATACAGAATACTTGAATGATATATTGTTAGTAAAATGTATTTAGTGTTCACTGTTAGAAGACAAAGTAGGTAAAAGATAGGAAAACTTCATTGAAATTACCATAACTCTTCAGATATTCTAAGTACATCCATAAACAGACAAACATTTCAATATGAAATCCCTCCACACTTCCCATTTGGACAACTATATGCAAAGGGCACTTCAGTTTTGAAGCCTAAAAAACTTCAAAAAGTTATTTCCCAAGGTAAATCTCAAACCTCTTGATTCTTTAACAATCATGAAAAATAAATAAATAAAAGATCTTGGTTATTAAAACAGACTTGATATATTTCTGTGCAATAAAAAGTAATACTTCAAAATAATATAAACTTTGACAGATTTGCCCTCAGTCTCAAAAATAAATAAACCTTATGTCAAATATAAAAAAGAAATAAATTTTAAAACAAGTATAAAAACACCTGCACCTCAAATGACAAGGAACCCCAATTAGAGAAGACAGTAATAGCAGTAGCAAAACCAAGAAACCAAAGAGTAAAGTCATAAGCTGTAAGCCCACCATGACTGAACATGTGAATAAAATAGTGTTCAAATCAATTATCAAACAAAGAAATATTTGGTTGGATACTAAATCTGCTTTATTTCATCAAATAAAGACACTTCTCTCATACATAAGGTTGCCAATGTTTAGATCATTTACAAGAGCTCCCAGTTGTATGTCCCTAAAATTCAGGGTCGAGCAAATTCCTGTAGGTCTTTTCTGAAATAAAGTATCAAAATAAAAAGAAAAAGGAAATGTACTGTAATAAGAAATAGTAATAAATGAATACCAAAATAAAATGTTCTAATAAACTGCAATACAATGCAGAGAAACAAACCCAGAGTTGAACCTCAGTCTATAAAATGAATTTGCTAATATTGAAATGTAAAAAGAACTAGATGGAATTAGCACTAACCACTCCAGCAAGACCCAAAAGTAAAGCGAGTAATATGAGATTTTTAGAATGTTATCAAGTAATAAATACTATCCAGAGGTGCAAGTGAAATTATTTTAGTAAAAGCATAAAGAATAGTAGTAATAAAAGCCAGCATAAATGACAAGAAAAAAACTAGTTCAAGAAAGTATTTTAAATATTAATCACTTAATTGTCTTGTACCTAACAGAGCAGAACAATGAAGTCAAAGACAAACAATCACCTTTTATGAACTGTTACACAAGCTTACTTTACTTTTTTTCATGTAAATGCAATGTTTATTTTTGCTCAGCTTCATTATGCTTTTTCAAATTGCCAGGAGAGAAGACTTAGAGAATATTCATGTTTGGGTAATCAAATGACAAAACATAAGAAAAAAAAACTCCTAAATAACATATTTCATCCCTAAAAGGAACTTCTTCAAACTAATATTAGTTTTATTGATGGAGTTGGTCATATATAAAGTAATTATGTTAGCAGACAGTGCTACAGAAGAATACGTTTCCATACAGTGCTAGAGTGAGAAAAGCAGTGTGGGTCAGTTCCTGGTTGTAAGTTATATTGGATTGTTGGTGAGTGAGTGAGTGCCTATTCACAGAAAATCACAGGTATGTTCTAACTTACAGAAAAATCACATTACGACACATTGTAGGAATGGAACTCTGATGTAAGTCAAGGACTACATGCACATGTGTGTGTGTGTGTGTGTATATATATATATATATGATAGATAGGGAGAGAAATGTGAGAATACACCAAATGTTGGTTACAGTTTTACCTCTAAAGTACTTAAAATACAGGGATGCATAGGTTTAGATTTTTCAATTTCATTCTACCTAGATACATAACATAGATAATCTCATTTAGCTTTCTAACCCGTTTTTAGCCCCATTTTTTATTTAATATCCCACATTATCAGCATTAGTTTTGTGAGGAAAGGCAATATATGATCCTGAACTATGAAAACTCCAAAATTAGTGCACTTTCAATATATTCTTAGTGTAATTACTTTCTCTTTTAACTAAAACTGCATTGTTTTAGTTAAAATTATAGACAAAACCTATTACAATAAGCTATTATATACAATCTTTTATTTAAACATCCAAAATACTACAGCTACTTGAATGGTGGTGATTAATTATATCATTTACTGTTGAAATGGACTGATCCACTTATATTAGCAACCATTTTCTATCACTATCTTGAAAGGACTTTTTTTTTTCTTACAGATTATTCACCTAAAGAAGGCTAGAAAAGAAACAATGAGGTACCAATATTTCAATTGCCCAAAGCTTAGAATGTTAATGATTTCACAAAGTTATAAATAAATGTTCAACAAGTTTTAAAAATATTGTTTATATTCACAAAATGTAAATAAAAAGAAAACCATTAACAATAAGTAACTGTACAAAGTACTACAAAGGAAAAAGAAAAGAAAAAATTCAAACACCATAATCTAAGAGTTCTAAAAGTTAGAAGTTTTAGTGAAAAAGTTTATAATAATCAATTTATTTTGCTTACTTTTCCAAAACCTCTTAGTATGCACAAAGTATAAGACAAAATAATCCAAGATAGTATCTCTACCTAATCCCTTGTCCCATCAAGATTTTCAGTTCAGTAGTTGTTGAACATTGTATGCTGACAAATCTTGTCAGGTGTCAACTCCATGTGCAGCTTGATTATGTTGAGGTAACACGCATATAAAAAAAAAAAAACATGTTACATGAATGACATCACTATTTGTTGATCCTAGACAACATAAAAGCAATGATGACATTTTTTAAAATTAGTAATTAAAACTAAGGGTAAAATTTGATAATTTTCCAAGACTTATCTACTGTACATTTTTCATCTTAAATTATCTTAACTTATTTCTTATTCAACTTTGATTAATTTTCTAAAAAAATTCAAATTAATACATTGACTGACAATGAACAGTTCTTTTATTTATAATATCTTCTACTTGACCCTAAATATCAGGATATTTACACACTTTTGAAATAAGATTTTTAGTAAAGTTAAGCTATATTCTCAAAATAGTTTTACACAAAGTAGCAGATCTTAATACAAGATAGACAACTGTGCATTCAAAGCAAGATTGCTTCATAGTTATAGTAGTTAATGTGGGTTAAGTGAACAATAATGGATTTGTGACAAATTTGTATAGATGAAAACATCTTTGAGAGATGATAGTGAAATGACAATATTAGGCATTGGATCTCTCTGCTTGGACTTATGAAAGTCATTTGAAATAGTGCAGTTTCCAATTTTGTTTTGTATCAATACTAGTTTTGTATACTCCCCATGAGAATAGCTGTTCTTTCTTAAAATAGATTGTTTAAAATACTATCTTTAAATTACATTGTAATAGTAATTACAATGTAATAACTTGAAAAAAATTACAGCAGTTCAGACTGAAAGAAATTTAAATGTTTTCCTTGTGCCAAAACACACACACACACACGCACTGAAAAATAGCAATATAAATCTATAGTAACTGAAATTTTTTTTTTTAAGCAGAACAGAAAATTTTTTTCAAAATCTGGTATCTTGAGTGAAAAATATAAAAATGTTATATATGAGCACCTTGATTTTGTTTGGTAAGTTATCGGGAAAGCATTCATCCAAGATGACATTTCTAGAATAGAGGTATTCTGGGAAAGAGAGGAGATTCTTCTCCATGCAAGTCAAAGGGTCACCAAACAAAAAAAATAAAATAAAATAAAAAGCTGGGCTGATAGCAATAGGCAAAGTGGTGCTGTGCAATTGATAGAAAAGTGTTTATATATAAAAAAAAAAAATCAAATATTTTGCCACCATGCACTTAAAAGTTCAATACTTTAAAAAATGGCATGTAAATATCAGAACATTTTATAATGAATCATTTATTTGGTAGGTTAATGCTATTTTAAATCTAAGCTCCCTGAAGCATTCTATACAATACTCTACAGATAACAAATTTATTTAAGTTAAATTTCAGTATTAATTAGGCTCTTTTTTCATCACTTAACATGAAAATCTTAAGTTAAAAATCCTTTCTTGCAAGTATACAACTATAAGTGGGCTTAGAAATGAATAAAACATTGGATAAAAGATGCATGCATTTTTTGTGATATATAGAAGATAATGTTAGCAAGATATAGCAAGAGCACAAGCTAGAATCCATATTTATTAACTGTCTCATATCCTGAAATCACCAAAAGCTTATAAATATTTATATATTCAATTACAAGTACAAGAGACATTTATTAATATATTGTCTTAAATAAAACTGATACAGATTTTAAAAATAATTAAATTTTAATGAAAATCATTAATTCAACATTGTTAACCAATCCATCATGATTTTTCAGTAAAAAAATTATGGCTTTTAAAAAAAAAATTAAATGAATAAATTGATCTTAAACTTTTCATCAGTGGATTAAAATGACAAAAAGGTAGAAAGCACCAAGTTACCAGAAAGCATTAATAAAAAAAATAAATGCCTAATTATTACAGGTAATAAAATATTAACAACTGAAAATGTCCTTGTTATAGAAAATATATATTTTATTTTACAAAGTTTAGTTTATCTTAAATGCATTCATTGTAGAACAAAATATATTTTTCTTTTTTTTTTTATATTATATACATTAAATAAGAGCAACACAAACTGCAACTTCAATTTAATGTGTTACATGTGGAGCAGGTAACAATGTAATACCATAGAAACAGACTACTTGTGACATGGCTAAGGGTGTTGGTCTATATAAAGTGCAGCTTGTTATGGGTATGTGTCTTGCAGAGTTCACTACTGAAGCTAGCACATACTGAATGAAAGAAGATCATCAGAGAGAGAGAGAGACAGAAATTGCATTGTAGCAGAAAAAAAAACATTTCAGATTACAATAAAGACAAAAAATAACTCAAATAGGAAACTCAATAAAAATTACAATATTATTATGTACAGATATAAAGCAAAATAAAGATTACAACATCAATACAAAGGAAAAGAAACAAATGCATAACAGTACTAATAAGGTCAGATCGAGTCAGAAGTATACAGTAATAAGAAAAGTACCAGTATCTACAAACCAAAATTTATAATTAGTCATAAAATAAACATTGATACATTTTGTCAAATTAAAAAAAATAATATATTTATTTTTATTTTATTATACATTAACATTAATGTGGGTCATTATCAAGTCTTATATACACAAAGAGCCTCTTTTAAATGAGATAGATAATGACAATAGAAATGTTGACAAAACTATATAATGCACTTAGACTGGACAATGTATTATCATCTAGCTACAAGTTATAATTACTCACATAATATTTCTCAAAGTTTTGTCCTAAGTTATATCATTATTCTGAAAAAAATATTATTCTTATTTGATATTTTACAAGTCAACTAAGCAAGAAAAATAGTTTCAGCAATAAAAATAATAAATGACATCTTATGCTTGGTAAGTATTTTGGTACTTTAGTTATTTATATGTAACACCTGTACTCAAGCTTACCTGTAAGAAAATAAACAAATATATCCCAACCCATATCATACTTGGTGATCCAGTTTAAATAAAAGCAAGAGCAGCATTGCAATGGATCTATGTCCAATAAGACAAAAAGCTGAGATACAGTACTCAGGAACATTTATTAAGTCGGGTCACTGTGAGAGAAGAGAATAGGGGGGGGGCTTACCAATAAAATTTACTAGAAAAGGTTTAAAAAAAACTAACAGCAGCAATTGTCTTTCCATTCAAATTGTGAGATTTGAAAGGAAATTAAAGCTAATTTTATAAAAAAAAACAAACTTCAAATTGAAATATACAACTTCAAAATCTAAAACTGTCTAATTATCTCAACTGAAGTGTCAAAAAATTAGTGACATCTACCTAATAACATATATCTCTCTGTCTAAATAATGGTAGCAACAAGACTTTGCATGGAGTTTGCAAGATGCTGGAGGCAGTGTGCATGTATGCATGTATGTATATATTATAAATTTACTTATTTAAAAATATTTTTTTTAAATAAGTAAAATTATAATATTTATACTCTGTAGATTTGCATTGAGCACTGTTTTGTAAAAATAAAAATATTAATAAGAACACTGGATTATATATCTTACTGCTCTTTCTCTTTATTCTAAAACATATATATCTCCAGGTATGTTCCAAGGCTGTCCATTTATTGGATGTCGCTGTAGGAAATTTAATAGAGTCTACAATATGACCCATATATGCTAAACAGGGTTCCAATCTAGTGAAAGTGGAGAACAATGCATAGTTGAAAGTCAACAATGTTCCTGGAACCAATTTTGTGTCACCTGTGGGATTGTTTATCTTACTGTAACAACTCATCACCACTGAAAAACAGAATGAGTATAAGAAGATACAAATGATATGAAATATGATCTGTGTATGTCACACCTGCAAGACACTCCAGTTTCACTAGTGTCAAAATACAACCCACCACATTACAGAGCCAATACTACTTTGTACAATACTCTAGTGACAGGCTGTATCTAGTCTCATGCAGTCTCCTTCAAACACACACTCTCTACCATTTAAAGGACTGCAAATGTGACTTGTATATTCAGGCCACACCAGTCTTTTATAGTTCAATGGCAAGGTTCAGTCAAATGAAGCAGAATAACCAATGCCATGATGTCAATAGGACCTTTGTCAGTTGGCATTTACTAAAACTCTTTCGAACAGCCTGTACACTATACAGTGCATTGATTGGTAGGTTTAGTGGCACAAGCATTGAACTGGGATGTGATTTGATGCATTGTTCCCTTTCATTAGGGTGGTGATTACCAACCTTGTCAGTCATTGGTGATTCTGTTCTTGTCTCACCTGAGAGGTACTCAGTTTTCACATGCCATATTCTGGGTATACTCTTGCTACATCTTTCAACAATCATGCAATGAAGCAGTATTGAAGTATTAAAGCAATATTAAGTCCATATCTTGTGGTTGTCAAAGCTACAATACCTACCTTTTTACCTATTATCACGTCATTCAGTTAAAAATATATATATATATATATATATATATATATATATATATATATGTATAGGGAAGAGCAAAACTATTTAGTGTATTGCTGTCTGATTTTTTGGCACTTCAGTTTATTTTCATATAAGTAAGACATTATCTTATTTTTATTAAATCTAACTTAAATATGAATAATTCAACTTCAAATAATATCTTATTGCATTTTACCAAAATATATTCCACATTTAACTACTGTCATGTTGTATATTTTTCAGAAGTTTTTTTTTTTTTTTTAAACTTGAAGGGTCAAGGGAATATACTCACCATCTACTCTCTTTATACTTATGTTAGGTGGCATTTCCTTAAAGTCAAGCTAACCCCAAGAAAATGTTTCAAGCTTTCAATGACAAGATTAAGCATTTTAAAAATATCAGCATTTCGTACCAATATTTAGGCTACATTAATGTTTGACTGTTAAAATCAGTCATCAAAAGCACTTAGCAAATAAGATAATAACAGAGCTACATCAAAGAAAATAATACTATGTTTTTATGCGTTTAAAGATTAAAATAATAAAAAGAGATTTACCAGGATTACTTACAAATATATAGCTTGAATAAGTACATTCACTCATTATCTATTGGAGGTTTTATAATTCAAAGGAGGTGAATCAAAGTATGTAAAATTTGCATGTTTAGGCAAAGCAATTACATAGGAATTTCATTCAAATACTCACAAAGACCATTGTAAGTAACATGCTTATGGGTCGCTGCTGACAGAGAAAAACACATACTAAAAAGGTCAGTATAAAATAAAAAGAATGTTAATATACTTGGGGGCATCCTGTGTGTTACTAAAAAATATAAATGGATCACCAATTCCCCACAAATTGAAACTAATTTTAGCTACCTTATAACCTGACTTCATTAACTACAAACAAGCAGGTCCACAGTTAATATAGGGAATAACATCTATCATTTTAGAGCTTAAAGTCAAGGACTGTAACATGTGAAATTCCAAAAGTTTTCATACATGAAAAACCTATCATGAAAATGATAACATTAGACAAAAGTAATTAAAATGATCAATTTACAAATAAAACAAAAATGAAAGCAAAATTTTGTTAAATGGATGTCTGCTTTTACATTCTCAATTATTTCAAGATTAAAATGCGAATGACAGATAAACAAAATTGTACCTGGTCGTGGGCTGGGAGCAGCTTTGGAAGTGACCGACCGACGAGTTCCACCACGACTAAAAGAAAAAATATAATGCAGCAATTCTTTCTGACAAGGCAATCAACTATAACATTCATCATCATAGTCAGAGGAACTACCAACAGAGTTGATAATAAAACCAAAATAATTTTAAGCAAGTCACATAATGTTTAATAAAAATTATATTTTTGAGAATATTTTATAAATTATTAATAATAGATCATCATGGACTATCATGTAAAATAAACCTTATAAAATAATTAGCATCTATTCAACACAATAATTTTTGCCATATATTTGTTGTGTTTTTTTTTCAAAAAAATTTCTGCCCAATTAGTTTCTAAATCTAAAAAAAATATTTTTAAAGTAGTTAAGAGAAAATTTTAAAAACTTCACATTAAGATAAAATATTTTCACAAAACTGAATATAGAAGGTCATCTTTTCTCAGATGAGATATTTAACAGATAATTGCACATCTTTTCTAATTAGTAAACTGAAAGAAAAAAAAAAAAAAAAAAAATTACCTTAAGGAATCAAAACCAATGCGGTCCTGGCTGGCTGAGCGTGATCTGGATGCAGGAAGTTTCAGGGAGTCTGCGCTGTTCAGCGAGTTGTTGCTGGAAGAATTGCTCAGCTCACCCTGAAGGACTTTCTGCTTGGACATATCCAGAGAATTCAGTAGTGCATCAGCTTGATCCCGAAAGTGAGTAGCGAAATGCCAGTAAGCTCTGTCATGAAAAGAAGCAAACAATTTCATAAAGTACCTCATATATTAATATATACCATATAAAATTACATAATATAAATTTTTGAAAACATGCTCAAATATATATGAAAACAAGCATAATGCTTTGTAGAGGTTTGATAAAAGTAATTCTTGATAAAACTCCTGATAATTTTAATTAACGAATATTATAATTGCTAAATATATTATAACACATGCCAACCAATTAATCAACTGTTAAAAAAAATAGAGAGGAAAAAATAAAATAGTGGCATTAAAATTTGAGCAAATTTTATATTTCTAGGGATATTTTTTTTAATTTATCTGGTACACTGGAATATTTAAAATCATTTAAAATTAAGTTTTCAAATCACTAAAATATTAATCTCCAGAAAAAGACAAAATAAAAAAAAAATAAAAAAAAACGATTAAAATAATATAAAAAATCGCTACCAAATTAAGATCTAATGAGTACTTAGAAAGAGAGGATGATGATGATAATAAAGAAAGAAATTTTTAAAATTAAATTGATTACTTACTTTCTGGAATGTGCCCTGGTTTCTGAATCTGGATCACTAATTCCTCGTTTAATTGCATCTTGTAGAATTGCAATATGTTTCTCTAAAATGTGTGTAGGCCAACTGAGGAGAATCTGCTTAAGACTTTCACATACCATTCTGTAAAAGAAAATGATGAAAAAAATCTAAACAAGCAAATCTGAATTTGTTAGAGGTTTTAATCTTTCCTCAGTAAAATATGCATCAACTCTGAAAGCAATTAATAAAATAAAAACTGACAAATAATGACAAGCTTTTGAGCTGACTTTAACACATAACAAAGGATGGTCCCATTTAAATGCACAAGATAATTTTGCTTGAAAACAGGATTAAAATTTATACATAAAGTGACATTTTTTTAACTTGAAATTCTAGATAAAAGAATGCCACTGAAAGAAAAGAAAAAATTCTATAAATGGTTAATATTCTCTAACCACTAAGTTTTTAATCACCGATTTGTTTTTTATAGCTTATCAACTCTTTGCAGGTTATTTAAAGCCAGAAAATATTTTTGTAGGATTTTTTTTTGAGATAACAATGGTTTAGTGATACAAATTTTTACTAATTAATCCATAGCTGGGGGAAGAAAAGGTGGATTCATACCTTTCTCAAGAATATTTGCACGTAAGAAATAGAATTAGGAACTCAGCTCTCCAGTTAACAATTCCAAGCCATTATCCATTACACCAACAACACAATGTTTACAGCACCTGGTATTTCCAAGCGGTCACCCATCTAAATACTGATCAGGCTCAATGTTGTTTAACTTTGGTGATTATACAGGGATAGCGTTATCACTATGTTAAGTAAAATTTAGCTTAATTGGATAGAAGCACTATTGAAAAGGTAATCAAATATGTCTCTTGTGCAAATATAATGTTTAGAATATAAATGTGTGTGTGTGTGTGTGTGTGAAGAAGCCATAGTGAAATGTACATTGGTGTTAGTTTGGTGTACTGATAGATATGACTGCTAGTAATATTGGACTGATGTTACATTTATTCTGCAGTCATGCCTAACAAAATGTCTCAAGCTCCAACAGATTACAGCATCCAGCATATCTTGTTTGTTGTTTGATGGCAACAAAGGCAAAGGTGGGGTTATGGGAAGTTCAATTCTTGGCTTATATGTGATTTTAAAATTCTATTACATTATATTACCAATGTAACATCATCCAAAAGTTGAAAATTACAGTAAAAAGAATGCTGAAGACTTTGCAAAGCTGGCTTAGTAGCTAGACGACAGGAATCTTTCCTTAGTTATATGTGCTGCTAAGGACAATGCTAGAATAGCATTAAAAATCTTGAAGGAGTAATATGTATCTAAAGGAAAACCCTAAATTACTTCTCTATCTATGGAATTAACTTTTTAAGGAAATCAAGCATGGAAAGTGTCACTGATTATATGATAAGAGAAAATGCTGCTACAACTTGAAATATGTTAATAGAAATAGTGACAGCCTTAATGATTGCCATGATCTTAAAGGAACTTCACCAGAATTCAAACTTTTTACTAGTGTCATTACTCAAAAAGATGAATGTTCAATATTCAGTGTACTCAAGGTAGTACTAAGACAAGTTGAGGAAATGGAAAGAAAACTACAAGAAAGCCCTAGAGAAAACAACGTAATGAGAATCTAAACAAAATAGTCTATCCCAAAATTGGGGGGGGGATTTTACAAGGCTCACTCTGAAAATAATTACTCCTATTATGTTGGCACATAATATCAAAGGTAGATGTTGAGGGTAGAGCAATAGAGGTTGAACATTCTTGAAAACCTATAATTTTTTTGCATTGTTACATACAGTTAAATGGCAGTCTGGTAAAATTACACCTGCCATGAAAGTGTGTACAAGACAGAAGTGAGTCTTTGAATTCTTCTATATGGAAAAAATTACACCCATTGACATTTGCTGAACATTTACAGAGACCAAACAGTGGATGTGGACACAATTTTAGTATTGGCAACAGCAGTGTGTAAGACAAGCCACATTCCCAGAATAATCCTGCACAGCTGTCAACCCATGAAATGAAGAGTATTTCAATTAACTCATCTTTGCAATCAAGCAGATAAGGACAAGAGAAATGTTTACTGGGCTGAATATCAACTTCGATAAATTGGAAGCAATGTTAGCATCATTGAGATATTGTTAAGTTTGTATCAGGTGAGTCCCACAGATGCTCAAATAAAAACAGAGAGAAAATTTCAGCTTCAGAAAAATTGGAAAACAGCAAACTGCAAGGCAGAATAGATAGCTTTTAGCTACCACAATATAAGAAGCAAAGTTTTTTAATTACTGAAAAGCATGACAAATCCTGATTTATTCAAATGTGATAATCAGGTTGCTTTAGATATTGCAAAAAATCCTGTACAGTATCAAAGATCAAAACATATCAATATAAAATAACCACTTCATTAGGTGCATTGAAGAGCAGAAACTTGTTATACAACTTTAATATATTCCATCTGAGCAAAATGTGATGGATATATTGATTAAATGTGCGACTGGAGTAAAGCAAAATTTTTTTCTGTGCTCTTATGGAAGCTAATCTCAAATAAATTTTGTATTGTCTTAAATTATTCAGAGTGTTTGAATACATTCACTGTAAGTTTAAATTAAGAGGGTAATAGGATTTTAGAGTAGGGGATTTTCAAATTTGAAACCCAAGCCCCAGGGTGCCTTTCTCCCAGGCAGTACCTCTCCTTCATAAAGAGATTGGGTTTATTGCCAGGGGCCTGAGGTATTCCCAAATGGAGAAGTGCTGAGGGGAGCTTGGGCAATTTTTCCATAGTATTGCCATCAAAACCACTTTAAACAGAGCTCAAGTCACATTCGGTGAATGTGGGTGCACTGAAAAATACACATATGTAATTGTATATAATTTGATTATAAGATACTGTCCTCAACTTTGATATTATAAATGACAATATTATGGATACTACAAGTGCTTATAATATTGGTGTTTAATTTAGTCAATCATCAAGTATAAGAAAATGCTTCAAGCTCTAGCAATAATAAAGCTAGTTTGAATTAGGCCCAGTCCTTATTCAATTGTGTGCTTTATAGAAAAGAAAGTATAAAACAGACAAAAAATTCAAATGATTAAATGTGGCATTTAAATATTCCATGTTAAAATCCATGACTACTGTTATTTATATGAGTGAATAAAATCTCAAGGAATTAACAAAATTTATATCCATGAATAGATTAATATGCATAGATAGGAATTTTGTAAGTTAGCAATATAATAACTCACTTTTATCAACTTACATTTTCAATCTGTACTTACCTTCGGATTATGAAATTTTTAGATGAAAGATTGCTAGTCAAAATTGGTATAAATTTGGAAGAATGTGTACACTGAAAAGTAACAGAGTAAGTCATTAAATATACAATAACATGTCAAAATTATTTTTCATTAACTATACTTCAAACTCATCATAAAAACTTCTAATACTGGGAATTCTTTTAATCATTTACAATGTACAATATCTTTTGTATCAGTGACAATTCCTAGAATGTCTAGATTCATAAGAACCAGAATAAAATTATATATTTTTTTTTTTAAACACAAATGTCATTTGTGTTTTTATTGGTACATTACAAATCTATATTCTCATTTTTCATATTCTGAATCTGTCACATTATTTTTCTATAACAACCAAGACATGAATATACAAAACACTTTCTTATAAATATCTATGTATATAGAACAATATATTCAAATCTGTGGTATACCACTAGCATAAAATGAATCCTATTTGGTAAATACCAAAAACTTCTAACACTTAAAGCAGTTTGTTAAAAAAGGCTAAAGATATCAAACTTACAGGAAAAATCAGAGAGAATAAAGACTATGTATTAAAAATGCAACAACATAGAAGACAAGACAAAAATATAGAAATAAAAAAGTAAAAAGCATAATAGGTTAAAAAGAGAGATAACTTTAATATGTCATACAAAATTTTATTTGGTTCCAATTTTCTATATTTAGGAAATAAAAATTTGGAATTTCCAAGTGTGGAAATAAGGTACTGAGTTCTTTTAAATAGACAAAGGCAAAACAAAATGATGCAGTGTTAATATTATCCAAATATCCATAGTTACTTACTTGAATTAAAAAGCGAATGCACACAGCACCAGAGGTGGCCATCACTTTGGCAGTATTTGAGATGAGACTAATTAAGCTTGGGAGCAATGACTCTGCAAAGTGATCCGCTTTGTTGCCCAACTGTTGACACACATAACTGTAAAAAAAAAAATATATATATATATATATATATATATATATATATTGATCATAAAGCAAAAAAAAAAAAACTCTTCCTTTGTCAATTTTGCTTTGGAAAAAATATATTATTCTTCAATAAGGAAGAATAAAACTAACCAAACAGTGAACTGGAACAAATTTTCAGTATTCATAATTTCAAATGTAAGATACTAAATCACTGTAAATTGAATGTCACCAACATTGGTTTGACAAAATCCAATTGCTGATTTTATAAAGGTTAGACCTGTCCAAGACACGAACCCTTCATATCATGTTGAACTATTTTAATTAAATTATATCCAAATGAGCAAAAAGGTGACGTAAACACTGATCATGTAGGCTTTATGTACACAACTTCAAACTCACTCATCATAAAAATCAAGGATTTTTATAGATTTTTTTTTTAAATTTTGGTCAAGGAAATAATTTATTATTTATCATCATTTTTGCCCAGTTTGACAAATGTAATGAGCAGACAATGTTTAGGTTCAATTTATTAAGAGAAATCTCACACCTATTTAATTTCTCAAAACAAATTAACTAATTAATTTTTTTAATTATTTTTCTCTTGTGTTTTTCTCTGGTCATACAACATAAACCAGTCATTCTATAATTAACTGTTGCCCACTGTCAAGAATCCTGGTACTGGAGGAGGGTTATACTCACTCTGTACAAATTGATCAACATCCACTTTGTCACACTTTCTTATAACATTCCCTTTTGAAAAATGACAGTCTCAAATTACTTGACTGTTTCTTTTTTAAAATGGAATGTATACAATATTTTTATGAAATAGGTTTATGTTAATTTAAAAAGGTAATATATCATTTAACAAAATTTCAGCAGCACTTCCCACAAGCTAAGCAGTAAATTTATAATTCATCTTTAAAACATTTTATTATATATATATATATATATATATATATATATTCCGTGGGTATATAATCCAAGTGCGTCCTAGTAATATAAAAATATTAAAATTGATCCACAAAAAGAGAGCTCAATATATTTTATTTGTACAGAGCAATAAGAAATAGTCTATTCCCCATATGAGGAGAAAAAAAAATTTTGATTATTCACTATATATATATATATATATATATATATATATATATATATATATATATATATATATATAGAGAGAGAGAGAGAGAGAGAGCAAAATATTTGAAATACTGTTTCTGTAAATATTGATACAATGATTTAGGATTTATTAACAAAATATGTTGAAATCTTCCATTCTTTCTAATGATTACATGTATAGTCATACATTCTGTTTGATTGGCAATAAGAGCAGTGAAAATAATTAATTGAATTTTAGCATTTTGTGTCCCTGTTAAAGAATTACATAGATGATGACAGATTGAACACTAGATTCATTTTCTAGTACCAAAGTAAGAAAGTTTGCTATTTACAAGGCATCAAGAAAAGGAAAAACATTTCTTCAAAACCAAACCTTCTGAGCAATAAGTAATAGTCAACTATGCTAACATGTCATTGAAGGGTGGATCCGAAAGTCTTGTCACCCATACATAATATAATTTTCTATTTCAGATAGTTGACACGGAAGTTTGGAAGAGAGGCTGCTTGCAAGTGTACGAACACATGATTATGTGCATTCTGGCACAAGTGTGGAGGATATGCGACATGACTTCATTTGTTGTTCTATTGTTCTCATTACATTTTGGTAGTGGGTAACAAGACTTTCGGACCACCCTATATAATATTTTTATTTAAGAACTTGCAACATCAAATTCTGTACTATTAATTAATATTAATATCTCATATCAGCCTAAATTATAACTAGGGTGAAAAACACTATCTATATTTTATGTAAATTCAAGTGATGTAGGTAATACATTTTACAGGTAATATTTTTTTTAAATATATAAATTTTCATGTATGTGCCTATTTTTATGTATATCAAAACAAAGCTAAATTTAAACTAAAAGTTATTCATAATCACTTACTAGAAAATGCTATCCTATTAATGGAATATTTAGAGGAAAATGTAAAATAATGAAGGAAGAACCAGGTTATAAATTAGTTCCCTCTTACAATTCCTTTAGTGTTTTTTTTCTCTATCCTAAAACAATGTTCACCAATAAATCAAATAGTAACCAAGTTATTCTAATCGCTCCATATAAAAACCCATGTACACTACTTTGTAACATACAGTAGGTACTGGTTACCTGTCAACTCAGTTTAAAGGTGAAATGTGTATTGAGTAAGATTTTTATAACCATATGTGATGAATGCCTACTTAACAATTCTCTCATGAAACAGCTAAAGTAACAATGACCAACAAAAATAATGACAAAACTGTTTACCTGACATTAAATATAATGAGCAATACTAGTTTCTTACAACTACTAATGATATAATAATAAAGTGGTAAAAAAAAAAAAAAATAAGCAAAACAGACAACTTACGCAGTAGTGATACAGGCCTCTCTGACAACCTGAGATCTCAAATCTTTGATGGCGAGGGTTATACTTGGCTCTAAAGTGCGCAACATTGAGAAGAAATCCTCATAATCAGCAGCACCACATAACAACAAAGCCCGTATCAAACGGAGCTGAAAATCAATAGAAGTTTTATTATATTCCTTCAAAATATAAAGAAAAATAATTATCAAGTATTTTAAAGTATACTATGATTATATTTTTAAGCTTTATTTAAAAAGTGCAAAAATATATGCCAATCAGAAGTTACTTGTATAGTATTTGTTTATATAGTAAACATAAATCAGTGACAATAAAAATCTACAGGTTATTTACAAATAAGTTCAAATAACAAAATTACAAAAGCAATATAGATTGTTTGTACCACTCACCGATTCAACTCTTTTTTCCCAATCATTATTGCTGTCACTTAGAATGTCTTTTGCTTTAGTGATATTAGCTTGGACGTCTTTGCAGGAATATATCTGAAGAAAAAGAGCTTGTTATTATAAATTTAAAATAAAAGCAATATATTAAACAAGCAAAGTGGAGAATATAATATCTAACATTTTTACAAGCTTCCTGTGATATCAAACTCAAATAGAGGCAATTTGCAATGTAAGAATTTATTTACATATGACAGACTTATAACATGTTTCATAAGTAAGGTTTTTGTATTGTTACACAAATTTAAAAAAATAAAAAAATAATAATAATTTTAATAATATGCATAACTTATATTTGGCAAATAACCTGTGTGCATATAGATATGCTATACATGTCTCTGTTAAATTTTATGAGAATATATTTTAGAGTTTTTTGTTTTCTAGAAAGAAAAAGATAACACATACTAAAGATGTTGCTTTTGTTTGAAGAATAAAGGCAGGAAATAACTAAACAATTCCACAAGTAATACCAAGTAAAGACTGTTTCATTTACATTTATTTTAGACATAAGAGACACTCAAATGCAGAAAATACTAAAATATGCAATACTTTTGTTAAACTGAACAGAAGTATTTAGATCTTTTCATATGCAATCTGCAAATGTGCCTTAAATGTTCTTTCAATTAAACTGATGGCTTTTAAAAACAAAATATTCAAACAAATTCAGTGTGTCTGAACTTTTTCAGTTATTGAAGCATTTCCAATTATCTGTCAACTATATTGGATGTTCATTACTCATAAGCAATAGATCATTTCCCTTTCCCAAATGTACTTTTGGACATGTTCAGTTGTCATCCGCTTTTCACTTCTCAACCTTTAACCCATAGAGAAATATAGTACATTTTCAAAATAATTTACAAATCATTTCATGTTTTAAAAAAACACATTCTTAAAACTTTTAATATCAGAATTTTATATTTCCAATCTCACATTCAGTATAATCAACAGGATTTATGCTATTGATGAATAATGCATATTTGTTGTTTTTTTGTTTTTAAAAAAAAAAAAAAAAAACTTTTTAAATGTATACTTGGTTTGAAATCACTAATTAATAATACTTCTTCTGGTACGGGAAAGGATATATTCAATAAGTTAAAAGTCATGAATTAATAGAGGGCACAGATATTTTATTAATGTTTAATAGGTAAACATCTAGTGCTTGGACATATATTGAATTTTAGAGAATAACTCCATATGAGATTCATATTACTTCCTACCATTGACAATACAAAATAGTTATATATTACAGATACATTATGTGTCATTATTAGCCACTTCATGATTGATCAACATATAAAATACTAATTAGAATCTAAAGGTTTATTTATTGAATGATAGCAACATCTGCAGTTAGGATGAAAACCACTTTGTTCTTTGTAGATGAAAACAAACAGCAACTATTTGTTTGAAATTTCTTAAAAGCATGAAGCTTTAAAATGTGTTGTAAGGATTTGATGGATAAAGAAAAATATTTAATAACTTCAGAATTTGCAAAATGTAAACTATTTAAAATTGCAAAAATACCATCAAATTATAAGACTTCAATGCAGTTCTGATAAGAGCAGGCTGAGGATTTTATCTTAATTAGTATTCCATATCAAGAGAGAAGTTATTAGCAAAAGAAAATCAGTCTTTATCAAGCTCTGAAATATGAATGTTTTAGGCATTGTGGCAGAAAGGAATTATCAAAGAGCATAAGCATAATATCAAGAAGCAAAATATATCAGACAAATAACTTTGCCTTCTTTTAAATATGTCCATAAAGAAAATTGAATGAAGTGAGCAACAGAATATAAGAATACAAATTCTTCAACCATACTTTACACCAAAGAATACTAAGCTACCCTCAATAAACCAAACAGATGAAGCAAATGCGAGGTAGCTACTGACAGAAACCACCTTCACAGTAAGATATCAACAAGGTCGAAGTAGTATGATGTTTTGGGGTGGTAGTATAGGTGATAAGCTCATGGAAAATTCTAGTTTGACAACTTAAATGTATATTGATATTTTTTAAGGAACATGCTGATTCATGGTTTAAAAAGCCAAACACTTTCTGAAAGATGATTTTTATGCATGACGATGTTCCATCACAATTGGCAAAGAAAATTAATGAACATCTTAAAGTAGATTTCAAAGACTTATATGATGGATTAGTTAAGTTGTTTGCCTGACTTTAAAATGGATTGAAAAGTTGTAGGGTAGTCTGAAAAAGAAATTTTACAATGGTGGACAGAAATTTACCAGTAATGATAAACTTTGAAGTGCTATTATGGATGCTGTGAAGTCTGTTTCATATGGAATACAAAAAACAGATCACAAAATCAATGAATGAACTTTGTTTTTTATCAGTTTCACCCCACACAAGAAAAAAAAAACAAAAAAAAAAAACACTAAGATACAAGGAGTTACTGGTTGTGGAAGAATTAGAAACAGAAACATTAATAATAATCGGAAAGAGAAAAGAGTAATAAGGAGGACAGCAGATAGTGATTGACATTGCATTTAGATTTTTGCAGATTAAAGTTGGCTGGAAAGCATAGCGCCGTAAGAGAAGTGCAAGAAAAGAAACTGTTAGCATCAAACTTACAGCCAGCTCAACTGTAAATTGATGAGATCTTGATGCCAGTCTAGTACTGTGCTTAATTCAAAAAGTTTAGATACCATAGCAAAGAGCTCATCCAAACAAGTAGCATGAAAGTATTTATAGAAAAGAAACAGGGAGGCAATCTTATGGCAGTGGGAAAGTGAGTGAAGCAGACATGCCAGATCAGGACCAATAATAAGCCAATTTAAGAACATAAAGCATATATTTCAGATTATTTTTATAACTTTGTTATCATTACAGTGACACAGCTTTCAAGTTAATGCTCAAAATATTTTTGCAAACTTTAACCTGTCCTGTATTAATGTTTTACATTATGCTTATTGGAGTTTCAGTAACCTGGCTAATAATGTGAAGTTAAGAAAATCCAGTAAAATTCATAAAACTGTTGTAACATAATTAAAAATAATGGGAGATATTGTATTTGGAAAAAAAAGAGTGGATAAAACATATAATGAACAATAGTACTTCTTTAAAAGTTTTTATATTTGCACAATATTTATACAGCTAACACTCAGAAAAAGTAGACTAGAATCTAAAAACATTATGACAAGGTATATGTTAACCAACATGTGTAGGAAGGGTATAGAATTTTATGTCATAGAATCATGAAATGCAGAAAAAAAAAAAGAATTAAAAATAGTTTCAAGAAAGTAGATGGATTGAGGTTTCTTAATTGAAACTGAATATAAATTTGAATATAGCACAGCTCTCAAGATAAAAGCAAAAGATTTTTTTTTTCTATAAAATCTTTTCAGATGAATTCACATATTCTTATAAAAATAAATTTTAGGAATCAGGTTATCAGAACTCAATCAAGTGGTTAGCTGGCCATGTGCATTCCAGAGACTTTAGTGAAGTAATGGTTAACTCATCCCATTACATCATTGGGGATAAGCTAGGGAGTTAGGTTCAATATATACAGGTGTGCAGCACACTTTGGCAGCTTTAGCAGACTCTTCCAGAGAGAGTAAGAGAGAGAGAGAGAGGGTCAAGTAAGACCACTAGATAAAAGAGATGCATAAGATACAAAGAGGAAAGACAGAGGAAGAGAAAATTTAAGTAAACAGATCCATATTATTGTTCTAGCATCATCATAATTATGAACAAGCAATTCAATGTTTGGCCCACAATGTACTATCCTCAAACATTAAAATTGGTAAAGAAAATCACTATTTAAAACCATGTAACCAACAACTTGAATAAAATTTTGTTAAAATCTCATGAAAGTATACCAATATTTTTTCTTATTACAAAATTTCAATCAATCCTAACCATCCAGCAACTTTAATTTTGTGTGACCTTGAGCTTGGGACTTCTTAAGATTTTTTAAATACTATGTGGATGAAGGAATCTCCTGTTCAGTATATCACCAAACCAATGACCAGGATAACTGACTAACATTGTAGTGCAAATTCTATATAAGAAACTTAAAGCAGAGAGAAAGAAACAGCAAAGAGATGCACACAGCAAACACTATAACTACCAGGATCATACCAGTTACATCTGGTGCTGTGACTAAAGATTCTTGACCTTAAGGTTACCACAAAAAGACAATGTGTAACACTACAATTAGTGATCAGAACATGAACCCACCATAAGTATTACATTACTGTGTACTGAGTATAATGAAGGAAATGCTGTAACAGCAAAAGATAGTGTTATCTTGACAAGTCAGTCAAGAATAAATTTTTTTTTTTAGCAACATTTCATCAAATGACTGAACTTCTTTGAAGACAAGAAATCTAGACTTACTTGAATTTTGTTAATGTCTTCAAATGACTTGATGAATATTTCTTCATCCACTGCGCCAGCACTGCTCTCTTGCCTTGCTATAAGATACAAAAAGTTACTCATTAGAAAATATATTTAATAAAATAAAACAAAAACACAGAAGATTAAAGTGGGTAATTAAATTGTTAGATCACTTAACCAAAAGGCAAAAGTAAATTTTTCTCTTTACCATATCTTTGGGAATCTCAATAAGAAAAAAAAAAGACTTATACAGCCCTGTGCCAAAATACATCCATTTAAATTTGCTATAAATTTTAAATTAATTATATCCAACATTTAAAATTATTACTAAAACTAAAGTCCATAAAATGTCACATGCATGTTTTAGAAACAAATCCACAATAAAAATACAATCCAATTGCAAAATTGCAAAGACAATTAAAAATAAACAAAGTAAAATATAATGTAAAAAATACATGCAACTTAAATAATCAAAGTAAGGCAGCCTTAATGACCCACTCCAGGTGGCAGTACCATGTCACTATGTATGCTAATAATAAATACTGCAATCAAGATCCTTTTAGGTAAGCTACTGAGAAGGATCAAACAAAAGAAACTTACTTGAAAGTTCTAACTTATCTCACCACCAAAAGTGAAAAACATTTTTGGTGACAACAATTGAGACACAAGAAAAATGTAGAGCATCAAAATTTAAACAATTGAAGATTTAGTATTGATAAAACTAAATAAATCAAATTTTACACAGAAAGCTAAATTATAATGAATCAACTTTCTAATATTTTATGCATGTTCTTTCCATTTTAATCAAAATAAATGTTCATAAAATTTTGTAATAACTTTAAATACAACCAGACATCAAATACCACACAAGCAACAATAGTGCAGCTTAAACTCCTGACCGAATATCACATCATTGCACAACATTTTTGCTTAATTCCTACTCACAGGAAAATCTGTGAAGCATTTTATTTAATTATAGGAATTTAAGTTGGAAGTATTATCTTGAGAGTGATAATGGTCTCCTGGAGTTGGACCATTTTGAAGGAAAGAGCTTAGAACAGTTCAATTTAATGAACATTCATGAAAGTGCAGGTGTATGTTTAATACAAGTGGGGATGCTGAAAATTTCTCAATCTGACACACTTTCCAAAATCTGAACTAACATAGGCTGAGCACTTGAAAAGTTCACAGTCTGATCAAGAAGCCCTATTAAAAATGTAGGTATTTAGCCAGATTTATTTTGGGAATTGTGCTGGGCATAGAACTTTTCAGCACATTATACATATAAGCTGTGTTGTCTCCTATAGAACTTAATTGCCCTTAATGGCAACAGTTAAAATGCATGTTCATGAAATTAAATTTTTTTACAATCATTATTTAAACAGCTAACAATATATTTTCTAATATCAAAAGTAAATATTTGCAGGTAAGGAAAAGTAACAATGGTGTATCTTCTATCAAATTTTTTATCCAACACTAGATCTTCATGAAAAGTGAGATGATGGTTCTGGTCAAGATAGTTTCTTTATACATAGCTGCTCACTTCAAAGTTATAAATTTTTCTTCTAAGAGTAGTAAATTTGATACTAATGTGTTACTTGAAATGACTAGCTCAGATAGTAATTCAAACAATTCAGGTCAATTTTTCTGCTGGTACACAAATCACAGAAACAGTCTAAGTGGATAATAAAAAGTTAAAAACAGATGACTTTTGTTAAACATTCACCACCAGTTTGAAAGAAACAGTGTTTTTTATAGAGGCACAAAATCGTACCACTATATTTTAAGTGGAAAAAAAAAAAAAAAAAGAAGAAATATTCCAAAATTCCAATTATCTAGATGATTCAATACTTTATGCTTTTTATATAACTAAAGGATTTTATCATTTCAATGTACAAACAGATCAAGTCCAGTAGAAAGTATCACATAAAAAATTATTAAACTAATAAAAAATATCAAAACCTTCAATTTTATTAGCATGAGAAATACTATTTAAAATTTCTGAAAATATTAATAAATAATTTAGCTAAGAATAGATTTGAAATTTGCAAGGATACAGATGGAATACATCTATAAGATTCTGTGACTTCCTTTAGTCTGTCCATTACACCCTCTAAAATAGTCATACATTGACTCACAGAAAAGAAATTTTGGGGAGAGGTGCAAGCAGATCAGGGGGTACAAAGTACAGTTGGTTTTAGTACAGTGCATAGCTTAATACAATAAATTTTCATTCATTTTGGGGGGAAAATTAAGTTTTATTATTTAACATAAAAAAAACTCCCACTATTTTAAAACCAATTTAGGGATTTAAATAAATACTTATTTAATAAAAATGCAATATTGTTTTATGCATATCTTTAAGTTTATATATTTCATCAATTGGTTTGCCAAACTAAATGAAACAGAGTTTGTAAATCTTAACAAAGATGTTACTTCAACAATACTAAATACTATGAGGATTTCAACACCCGTCAGCATGCTGCAAAAAAATTCTAGTGTTGAAAATTTTCAATAAAGTTTTGATGCAAGATTTATAAATATATTTGTTTTATATAATAATTAAATAATAAACATAAATTTGTGTTCATTTTTAAATCTTACCCAATTTCATTGAAATAGTTAATTCTGGGACATCCTGCACATTAAATTTTACTAATTTACCAAATAAGAGTTCAATAATTTAAAATATAAAACTGATTTCAAGATCCACTACTAAAAAATTAGACATTAGTCAATTGCATATAAATCTATCATGTATATTAGAAGTTATTTATCAATGTGCAAATATTATTTCATCCCAGTTCTCAATAGATAATGTCATTTTACATATATTGATAAGAAAGAAAAAAATTAATTCAGTCAGGGGTAAGAAAGTATAACTATTTTTGATAGTAGCTTTTCAAAATTGCTGAAAGACCCCAAAACAGAGTTCAGATAACTCAAAAAACTAGCTAATTGCAAACAGATAAAAATAATAAAATAAAAATGAATATTTTGCTATGTTGATCAGTCTTGAACATGCCTCATACAAATTAAGGAAACACAATGAGTGAATGAGTGGAAAAAATGAACCTAAATAATTAAACATTATTGTACAGATAGGTTTATGTACAGCATCCAAAGGATGGTGGTAATAAATAGTAGCATTGCAATTTATATAAGAAAAATGGCAATATATTAGAGAATAATTGGATAATTTGATATAGTGTAATAGTTAGCAAATATTTCACTAAATCAATTATGACTGAGTAATGAGTTTGATCCTAACTGGGTGCTCCATATTTGCAGCATTGTGCCGCATCTAAGCTTTGCTTAACAAAGTGTTAAGCATGCAAATGAATGATAATTATTCAAAAGGATCAAGGAAGTATTTTCTTTTTAATTTTCAGTAGGATTATTTTATTACCCAAGTGTGTGTGTGTATGTATGTATGTATGTATGAGAAAGATTCTAATTATGCTAACCTTAAGGAATTAAAAAATATATTACATATTTTATACCCCAGTCATTCATATTCAAACATTGAAAATGCCTTAAAAATACAAATCTAAGCTATAAATAATTTATTTACTGTAATTTTTTTTATTAATAACTTTCAATAGGATATTTGAGCTATAAAATTAAACAATAGCTTAATGCAAAATGTATTTATTTACTAACATGTTTGTGACATTTCCTCCGTTGATTTAAAACAAATATGCAAAAACCTTCTATAAACCAAAAAGAAAAAAATGAAGTGATCACAGAAAATGAAGGTTATAATGAATCATATTGACTACATAAAAAAAGAAATATTTTATAGTTGAACTATATTACACAAAGTTATTAAACAATACAGTTACAAAATTCAAACTTCAATTACAGTGTTGAATTTAAAAATTATATGAAAGCAAAAATTAGAAAATAAACTGAACAAACATTAAATCATGCAAAACTTATGTTATTAATTATATTTCCTAGAATATAAAATTATAAAAGTAAATGATATAAATAAGAGTCAGGTTGTTGATGTTAAGAGATTCTTTTTTGCTGTTCTTTCTGTGTGAATGCTATCAACTTATCCTGTGTTTAATGGTTTCAACAAAGTGCAACTGACCAGAGACCAGTTTTAATTTACTGTTAAGAGGAAGTCAAGTAAAAAAAAAAAAAAAAAAAAAAAAATAAATAAATAAATAAAACAATCAATATACCAGTTTTACTAGCTTTAAACTTATTTTATATCTTTACTTTCTTACTGAAGATTATCAAAATAAAACAGCCATTAACACTTTATAACAAAGAAATAATCCAAAGTGAAAATTCAAACAGTTAATGGACCAAACATACAAGAAAACTCTTGAAGTCTTATAAACCTTGAATTTATTTTTTTTAATACAATGTTTTTTGTTTGTTTGTTTTTTTATGGTTAGATTGAAAATTTCTATGTTAATATCTCCAGTAATTTGATCAAAACAATATTTGTCAAAAAAGAAAAGAAAAAAAAAATCTTTTTTTAATATTTCTAAGTTTTTTTTTTATTAATACATTTCCCAAATTAAAATGACAGTTTCATGATCACTTTGTAGATAATTTTACATCAAAAGTATGGTTTTACTCATTATTCCCCAAAACTATATAATTAAGTCAATTTTTTTCCCTAACTTGAATATAAATAGGGTTATAAAAGTTGTAATTTTTCTTACAAATGCTGTACCCAAACTAAATCAAATGCACAGGGACAAACATACAAAAGGCAGTAAACTTCTTGTTCATTCAAATTACAAATAAAAATTTGTATATCATTTTCTCATATACATCATCTTAACCATACTAAATTATAAAACTTGCTAAAATTTCATGTTTATAGCAATATAACATTTCTTGTATATTTTTTAATGGTTTTTATCATTTCTTGCATACAAGATTGTTTATTAATGTCAAAAAAATCTAGTTATCTGAGAAAAATTGTTTCCATGATAAAAAAAATAAATACAATAAAGTAGACACTTATTTGCAAATTTAAAATTTATCCTCTTTCTGGTCATAAATGAGAGAAATAAATAAAATAAAAAAATATAAAAAAAAAACGTTCAGA